TAGAAAGAAGGAAAGGTGCTCTCTGTTGTTCAATATTTAAACTAGATGAATATTTACACAAGTGTTTCATGAGGAGCGAGTCTGCATTCATCTGTTGTAAGGTCACGAGAACTCTCACAAAACCAGGAACACGACAACTGCAAATGTTGAGCAAACAAGGTTATGGCATTTTTTTGTTTAAAGGCAGAAGAGCAATGTCAAAGATGCGTGCTAACATGAGCCTTCATTTTCATGTGGTTTTAGGCTTCAGCAGGGATGTTCCTCAGGTGTTACTGTTTCAGGCATGAACATCAAAAACCTTTGCAAAAATTAAACAAAAGCCAAGAGCCTCAGCAGTAAAAACTGCAGCAATCACATGCTACCAAGAGCTGCGGTGTTAAGCGACTAATCTGTAGGTGAACGGTGAAGCACTATTATGAATCAGACAGTTTTGACTTTGTAGAAAACAGAACCATCCTGACAAGTGTTAGCTGAACTCTTCATGATTAAGCAGAAGGGACAGATGCAGACTCAATATTTAGCTTAGTTAAACCTCAGTCTATTCTCCTTTTTGATTGGCTTTACACCCTGCAGACACACTGTCAAACTGCTGAGATACTGATGTTTCCAATTCCTTGTTTCTCTAGTTTGCCATTACTCTGAAAACAGAAGCACAGCTCACACATTCACTAGCCAAACAGTGGACAATAACTCCACTGAAAGGAGACAGGGTACCTCAGTCCATCACTCATCCCACTCACCATTTCCCATGACACTACATAATGAGATCATGGGAAACTGCTTTTAAAATTCAGGTTCTCCAGGGCTATCCTTTCTTCAGAATTAGAGCAGAGATCCCAGCTACAGATAGAAAATTATCTGTCCTGAGCACGACTAGCTGGTACTGTGGCTGCTCTCTCAGGCCTCAGTGATCTCTTGGGTATCCAAATGCAGCTCTGTGACTGCAAGCAGTCAGAAAGACAAGCAACAGGGCCCACAATGGACCCTAGAGAACTTGGGGTCAGTTTTGAAACTATGTATTTAGTGTTCCTTTTGGTTAAAGTTAAAAAAAGAAGTGCAGCTAGCTTTAACCCTAATGTGGTCACTCTAGAGCAACCAAACTGACTCAAGCATTGCTAAGACTTATTTTTGGATTGGTCTCATGCAGGTGAAAAATTTCTTGTAACACAATTTGAACATTCAGACCTAAAATCCAGCAGAATGAGTAACTTTATTCAGCTGTTTACATGTTTAAGAGCAGAGTCAGCATCTGGTGAATTTTAATATGGGCAGCTGCCACTGTGGAGACCAGTCACAGTTACTGAGCAGCAACAGCAGCAGTTTGTCCAAGGTGGTCTGTTACTTTCTAAATTTATGAGGCAGCAACCCTATACTGCGCTGCCGGTTGGTACCTCACCTCAAGTACAAACAGCCAGGTCAAATACCTCTGATGCGCCTGCACAGAAAGTTTCTGCCTTGCCTTTGCAGTCAGAGACTTCTAGTGATTCCTGCAGCACCTTGTGAGACCTTCTGTGCTCTCACTGCAGGTCTGAGCTTTCCAGACATGCTGCATTTCCTGAGTGCAAGCACAGGACGGTCACTGTTTCTCAAGTGGCCCCTGGTCACTATGGCAGATGAAGAACAGGCTTGCTGCTGTCAAAACTACTCATGTGCCCAGCTTCTAGCTGCTCTCCTTTCCCAGGGCAAGCAAGCTCTATCTTGCTGGCCTGTCACATCAATTGGTCCAGCCCTACAGCATGCTCTCTCCCATGAGCAAATCGTTCAAGCCGTGCCAGCCTGTTCCTACTTCTTGCTAAAATCGGTAGCTGTGAGTAGGCAACTGCCCTTGTCAGACTAGCTCAGCTCACCTGCAACTCCCCAGCTCCCAGTGGGAAAGCAACTGGCCTGGAAACAGCAGCCTAGCATGGCCACTGCTACCTCTGCTAATCCCATAGCAGGACAGAAGGCTGGCAGGGTTTGTTGAATCAGCCTGTGCCTGGCCTCTGTGGGTACAGCCACAGCAGTCTTCCTTTGCTGGCTGGGAGTCAGGACTCTTGCTTGCAGAGCAGGTCTACGATTGCTGTTGGCTGTTTACCTCGGTACTTATGGTGGGTATGTCAGCCCCAGCCTGGTGAACACCTCTCTGGCCGCACCGCACAAGCAGGTTTAGCCATTTAGCCACTCGTATGGAAGCATATTCCTAGCTCACAGGAGGGGAAATCATTCCTGACACTTGTCAGAGAGAATTTCAGGAAATTTCATTCCGATTTCAGTGCCATATTGGATGATAAAATAAATTCTTAAAGTACATAATTATTTTCCCTAATAAATAAATCAACCTTTTTCTAAAAAAGCTAGAGATGGCAAAAATCCATCGATCCTGATGCAGGGCAGTCAGCCTGGGTAAGGGCTATAGCAAATAAGAGACCATTTTTTGACAGCAAGGAAACCAAAATGAAGAGCACCAGGAGCTTGATATCACTTTAACAGGAATAGGAATTAATAAGTTTTATATGTTTGTAAGGTTAACTGCCCTCCTGGTGTACCAGCAGCACATTTCAGAGCTTGGAGTGGGACAGACACAGCTGAGCTGCAGACGCTGTTATGTGACCAGCACTTCCTAAAGCACAGCTACCTAGCATAATGCAAGCTAGAAGGTAAGCTCTGGATGATAACAAACTCGCTCAAATCAGGCTCATGACAGTGGTGGTAATGAAAGCCATGTACCTACTTGCTCTGAATTTTATTTCCCTCTATATTCACAATGCAAAAAGAAATAGCAGAAACTTCTTCATATACTACTGAGCAAATGAAGAAAAGATTAATTGTAAAAATATTAAACAGAAATAGAAACAAAATAAATGTAAGATAAACAAATAGAAAATTATAAAAAACAGTTATTATTGGAGCAAGTCCAGAAGAGGCCATGAAGATGATCCCATGAAGACAGACTTTTCAGCCTGGAGAAGAGAAGGCCCAGGAGAGACCTTATAGTAGTGCCTAAAGGGGGGCCTACAAGAAATCTGGAGAGGGCCTTCTTCAAGGGCAGGTAGTGATAGGACAAGGGGGAATGGCTTGAAACTGACAGTGGATCTTTAGATTAAATATAAGGAAGAAATTCTTTCCTGTGAGGGTGGTGAGGCCCTGGCACTAGTTGCCCAGAGAAGCTGTGGCTGCCCCATCCCTGGGCAGTGCTCAAGGCCAGGTTGGAGGGGGCTTGGAGCAACTTGGTCTAGTGGGATGTGTCCCTGCCCATGGCAGGGGACTTGCAACCAGATGATCTTTAAGGTCCCTTCCAACCCAAACCATTCTGTGATTCCATATACTAATTAAAAAAAAAAAAAAAAAAGGAAAAAAAGAAAGAAAAGCACTATAGGATCAGAATGCCACCTTGCTGTTTTTCCTGCTCTTAAACATCTGTCAAGGTTGTTACAAAACAACAGCTGCACACAGCTGAAATGCATGACAAACAGATGCAGGGGTGAGGCCAGCCCATCCCTGCTGCTCATAGCCTGTCAGGGGGAGGAGGCAGCCAGCCTCCTGGCAGTCATCCCTGCAGCCACCCTCATCCTTTCTGCAGCCACACAGGAGTCTCACTTTGCATCTACATCTCAGCAGACTTTCTGATCAACGCTCCCAGCTCACACTTACGTGAGCTTATCAGAAACCCCCTGCAGAGACTCGAGCAGTAACCCTAGGATTGGCTTGGCGATAGGAAACTGCTGCCAGGAGGTTCCCAGGGTGCCACCCAGCCATGGGCCACAGCAGGCTGCAACCCAATACTGTGATTCAAATAAGGAGCAGGAGGCCAGGCTCTAATTGTCAACTTGTGCTCTCTGTGTAAAAGTTACAGGTGTAAAGCATGTGCCACATCAGAGCTGGTGTGAGAAGTCTGAACAAGGAAGTAAAAAGCCAGAAAAAGGATTTTTTGTTTGGGTTTGTTTTTTTTCTTAACCCTCCGAAAAATCTGTGGTGTGCTGGGTGCCACCTCCCCTACTTTGAGCACAACCACATGTGCATGTGCATTTACAACCCATAGCAAAAAATGCCTTTGCAAGCAGATGTACAGATCATCCAAAGGGGCGGTGATCACACCTAGCATGGCCACAGGAGGCAACTCAGCACCTGGCACGTTTTTGTGCTTAGGCAATATCTATTTACACTGCACTTGACAAAACTGAATGCAAGCACCACCAAAACTAATGGCATACCTGCATGCACCATTAGCGTTACTTCCTGAAGTTAATCTAAAGTACAAGACAATATTCCAACTGTACATTTTCCATTTTATTGAAGACTGCTTTATGACCCTGCTTCCCTCTTCCTTCTTTTGGGAAAATGAATAGAAAAGGCTTAATTTAGCACACAATGAAAAGTGACAATGAATGCTTTAATTAGCATGTGTGGCCTGCAAAAAATTAGTGTGTTTTTGTTTGGTTTTTTTCTCCCAAGATCTTAAAACTCCATAAGTTGTAATATTTTTTCCAGTCTTTTAAAAGTAAATGGTTAAACATTTTAAGTACACAAGGGTTACTAGAGGCTAGGTGCAGGAGAATTTGTCATAGAAATGGTCAGGCAGCAGGCTTGGCTTCATGAATCTCCGTGCAATTTGCTACATGTTTTTGCTTCATAGACATAGTAATTCCGTATCTTTCCTCTTGCTTGGTTCTGTCCCACCTCCATGCTGCTCTTTCCCCATACAGAGCAGACGGTGTGGCTGAGGTGCGAGCTATGCAGCTCATTCAGACACCTTATGGCTAACTCAAAAAAAAAGCAGCAAACATTTAGTTCCTGAAAAGGTATTCCCAGATGATTAACTCTCTCAGATTCTGTTGCCCAATGAATTTAACAGTGCTTGGGTAAGGAAGGAAAAGAAGTATAAACTGGCCTCCCATAACCTAAATCTGACTTCCTGGAATCCTTGAAGAACTTGAGGCTTGAGGCAAATCCTATTTAGTCCTTGAGGCATAAAAACATTTTATTCACAGCTAAATTAGTAACTGGTATGTATATCACAATACCTCTATGAGCTGGTCTGGTTCACTTCCTTCTTCCACGGTAATTAATTTAGACCTTCCATTTCGTTCATTGTCCCGAATGCCAACAGCAACTTGAGTAGCCTTCAGCCGCTCGTATTTATTGCATGATGAGCCACACCACTGATAGATTTCCTATAATAATTAAAAGCACACACACATTAGCAATAAGATTCAATGCTGAGGAAAATCATGAAATTAATATCATATTAATGATTATGTGACTGGATCTAAGTCATGAGAACATTAGTGAAGCTACATCTTTCAGAGGTACTTTCCAGAAGAGATTTGCTAAGTCACTTAGATATTTATAATATGCAAGATATTTACATAATGTAATTTAGTATCCAAATACTAGGAGATCACTTAATCTCAGAATAGTCAAGAGTGCTGGTTTGACTGAGTTTTATCCCAAATACAGATAAATCTTCTGAAGATATATATGAAGAACCTGAAAGTCCTAAATTTGCTACTGCAAATTGGTTTTTATTTTACATCTGGCATTTTCTCATCTATTCTATTCAGCAGTGCCGGTTCTCATCTGTGGCGAGAAAGAAAGTAATTTCAAAATCCCAAGGAAATCCTGACTATGTGCTACTCACAAGTAATGTTAGATCTTTCAATCCAGTTTTCATTTTGGTGACTTTTTGTTGTAGAATGGTATTTGTTGCACACTCTGCTGCATCAAGCCACATCAAACTGATGACATCAGTGTTTTCAAAACAAAGTTTTCTTCACCAGATTTTTCCTCAGTGTACAGCTGATCTAATGCTCATAAAATTTCATTAACTTCAGATTAATGCCAGCCCTTCTAACTGTTGTTATCACAAACATCTTTATAAATTACTTCTAAAGATTTACAGATCAGGAATACCCTGGTTTTCTGGTCAGTTCCTCCCCAGCACAAATGGACGCTTCCTGCCTCAGGAACTGACTAAAGACAAGAGACACATCTGTAGAAGCTCTGCTCAGGAAATGCTGCAAACAGCCAGAGGTAACCTGCTTACCCAGGGGACAACCCTGTGCCATTGCCACCTTCCCAAGGAGGTCCTCAGGCACTAAAGAAGCTGATCTTCATGTTGATAAGTGAGTGCACTAGTGGCAGGAGCCCACCCCTAGATACCGTCTTACAGACCTTCAAGACCTTCATCTCACCTGGCTGAACAGGTAGCAAACAGGCTTGCCCTGCACATGACTGGGGAAGTGCAATTCAAGCAAAACAGAGTGTGCTCCCAAGGCACCTCTCAGGAAGAGAGGTGTCAGCCTAAGACAGGTCACCTAACCCAGTCACACCACAAACCAAGGACCCCTAGTTTTGGCAAGTCCCATTATTCATCCTGAATGCAAAGCATTTCAGAATAAAGGATTTAGATTTCAGTCTTGATGAAAATTACTAAAAGAAGCAGAATATGAGCCACAGAGCTGCTAGAGGCTGAGCTGGAAAGAACTAGTCAATGGGAATTAATTAGCTTGGCTGGTTGCTTCTCCCCCCCCTTCCCTTCTCCTGGAAGAAAATGATTTGATTCTATCAATTAGCCCAAACAGAACAGAAATAAAGGCACTCTATAATTTTCAACTTTTAAAAAGATTTAACTGGTTTGTGTTCACCTACAAAGCAAATAAGGATTTAATCAGGACCCTCACTGAGTTAAGTTACGGGGTCTTAGTTTTACAGGCTATATACAGCTGTATAAAACTTAGTTTTTTGGATGAAAACCTGTTTTCATTCAAAAAAAAGCTTTTAAAGCCGTTTCTGCTGACCACTGTTATTGAACAGTACTTGAAATAGTAGTTTGCAACAAGTGAGAGATGAAGCACAGCTTCTCAGTACTAGCAGATGCAGACTTTTGGAAGAGCCATCCAGAGGGACCTTGACACGCTTGTGAGGGGGGCTGATGCCAACCTCATGATGTTTAACCATGCCAAGTGCAAGGTCCTACACCTGGGTCAGAGCAATCCCAGACACAGCTACAGGTTGGGCAGAGAAGAGATTGAGAGCAGCCCTGCGGAGAAAGACTTGGGGGTGCTGGTTGATGAGAAAATGAACATGAGCCAGCTTCAGTGTGTGCTTGCAGCCCAGAAAGCCAACAGTATCCTGGGCTGCATCAAAAGGAGCGTGACCAGCAGGTCGAAGGAGGTGATCCTGCCCCTCTACTCTGCTCTTGTGAGACCTCACTTGGAGTATTGTGTGCAGTTCTGGTGTCCTCAACATAAAAAGGACATGGATCTGTTGGAACAAGTCCAGAGGAGGGCCACGAGGATGATCAGGGGACTGGAGCACCTCCTGTATGAAGACAGGCTGAGAAAGTTGGGGCTGTTCAGCCTGGAGAAGAGAAGGCTGTGTGGAGACCTCATAGCAGCCTTCCAGTATCTGAAGGGGGCCTATAGGGATGCTGGGGATGGACTCTTCATTAGGGACTGTAGTGGTAGGACAAGGGGTAATGGGTTAAAACTGAAACAGAGGAAGTTTAGATTGGATATACGGAGGAAATTCTTTCCTGTTAGGGTGGTGAGGCACTGGAATGGGTTGCCCAGGGAGGTTGTGAATGCTCCATCCCTGGCAGTGTTCAAGGCCAGGTTGGACGAGGTCTTGGGTGACATGGTTTAGTGTGAGGTGTCCCTGCCCATGGCAGGGGGTTGGAACTTGATGATCTTAAGGTCCTACCCTAACTAGGTCCTAGGGTCCAACCCTAACTATTCTATGATTCTAAGACAGCTAATATTGATGCCACCTGCATGCAAAACAGTGCTAGCAGCTTCTGGTATATACTTTTCTGCCTGCTCGGATATAAAAAACAACAAACAAAAAAACCTCAGTGATCTCACAGCCAAGTTCCCTTCCCTTTGGAAGCATCCTTCAAAGAAGAAGTTTCAAGCTTATGTCAGGCTTATACAGATTCCCAGAACTGGATGCCTTTCAACTTGCAGATGTTGCACAACAAAAGCTGTGAGGTTTTCAGCTTGCCTTTAACAACAGGACTCTAGGCTTAACACAAAGAAAAAAAAAATAATAAAAAAATCTGCTTCCAAGTTCTGGTTTAAATTCTGTCAGCTTACTGAGTGCCCAGAATCTGGAGACCCACTTGGCTTTGCGTCTGAACCTTATCTTAAACCTGGCTTTCAACATTTCCACAGGAAAGGAAAATATTAGTGCATATTTGGGGAAACAGGGTTTTTTTTCTAAATAACTAATGAAACACTGCCTTGAGTCTGTAGAAAGTAAAAAGTTTCTATTTCAGCAGAGTTTTTAATATATTTATTATAGCCATGCACTGCTTTAGACAACTCCCAAGTTTTGGGAGACTTCCAGAAACACAGACTCCTTTAATTTCTGAGAATTTCAGCACCCAAACTTACTCATCAAACCTCTTCTTGGCTTACTTCCTACTAATTGAACTTATTTGAAATTACATGAAAAACAGGAAGCACTAAAGATATAGCAGCAACTAATAGACATTTTTTAGTTCCCTATCTGGAAGCAATAAGAGGAAGAAGACATAGATACGGAATTAGCTGAAGAGGTTATGAAGCTATTGCCTTAGTGTGTATGCTACAGTTCATGGAGATTACTCATTGAGAAGGGTTAAAAGTTCAGTTTCCAGTTGTATATGTCTGCCCTTCTTGGTCTTTCAGTAACTGACCATGCAAGTATTCTCATCTACAAAATGAACAGTATTTACCCTACTGACCACAAGGATATTGTGAGAACTAAATTGTCACTGCAAATTACAATGACCTTTACTTCTCAGACAATACATTTACATGTTCTTTTCTTAGCATGTCTTAGCATAATCTGTCCCACTGCACAGCTACCCTCTGGCTACCCTGCATTCACAGCACATTCTCCCAGTCTGCCTTCTGTCAGCAAGTGACTAAACTAGGCTCTCCTACAGTCCACTGGCTCCAGACTTCCAATAAAAATCTACAGTAATGGATTTCAGGTCTTTTGATTTGCAGACTTCATTATTTTCCTTATGGAACCCACATTCCTTAACTACAGAAACATTCCCCCAGATAATGTGGCCTAAATACTTTTGTCCTAAACTAAAATAAATAAACATGAAATTTTGTTAGCTGTAACTCTGAGAAACCTTTTTGGTAGGGTTTTCTCCTGCTGCATAAAAAAGTTGCATCAACAAGCAGTGTCTGAAAACATCCTTGATCTGAAGCTCACATGGATAAACCATACTCTTCCCATAAGCTTAATCTTCCCTGGTTACTTAAAAAAAACTACTTTGGTTTTAAAAGCTAGAGAAACAAAAATCTGATTTTTTTTTGGCACTAGAGATTAGAGACAGTATTCTTTATTAAAACCCTGAAAGCTAAACTTCATGTACAGTACAATCTAATAGAAGGAAGTGAGAAGCCACAAGTCACAAAGGTGTCTCAAAGTATATAACATTTTACCATATTTACTATGAGCACTAAACAAATGTCTTAAGCACTTAGTGCTACAAGCTTTCAGGAGCTTAGATTTAGTTCTTTTCTCTTCTGAAGTAAAATCATCTTTATTTTTAAATATACCTAATTTTGAGGCCTCATGGTAGAAGTTCAGCTGGATATTTACAAGCTTGTCTTTCCGATTGAGTTTACCCATTTTAATCCCTAGGCAGATTGGGGGTTTAACAATTCAAAGCCAGAAAAAGTATTTTTTTTAGTTAAAGCCACTTCTTGACAAGACTAATGTTATAGATCTATATCTGAAATACAGTCAGCTAGTATTTATTTTTAGACATATATTATACATATAAAGTGCTCAACTAAGGTCATAATATGGTATTTACTTTAGCTCAGTCAATACTTCCACAATTTCTTAGGTGTACTACACCTTTACTATTTTCAGACTTGTTTTGCTAACCTTATTTTGAATTGGCAGGCTGACAAAAAAAATGTTTCCATTAAAATGAAAATAGACTTAAAGTGTTAACACCCCTCAAAAAAAAAAAGGAACTTCATTCATCACTTTTTCTTATGCCAAGCTCAGTTTATTTTTGGAAGTTTGTACTAGCAGGTTTGGGGTTTTAATCTCTTTAACAGAGGTTGAGAGAGATAATATGCAAGAGAGCTATTCTATTACCTGATACTAATGTTTGTTGATATCAATATACTGGTCATATCACAGTGGGACAATTAGC